TTTTTCTCTTAACTTTCTACAGAAATAAGTTTATTTATGGTTTTGTAGAGAATTTCACGACGCATCTTTTGGCAAAACAACCAGTTATAAAGATCAAAAAGAAAAAAAGTTATAATCAAAATACTGAGACCGCAATTTATTCTGCCGCACCCGTTACATAAACTAAATTCTTAATAAGAATAAAAAAAAACTGTCATATTTGACATCATATTTTAGAAATTAGTGCAGCTGCAGAGATAGGTCACCTGGCTTATATATATATTTTCTCTATGCTATTACATTTTTATTGCATAAATTCTTATATATTTCCAGTAAATAAATGCAGCCGAATTGATTTCAAGGATTCAATGAATATTACAAGTTGAGTAATTATTTCCTAGGACTTCTCCTAACTCGAACAACCCTCTTAGTGTGAACATCGTTGTATTCTACTCCTATTCTTACATTCTCTCATGTACATATTAGAATAAAACATATTTTGAATATTACCTCGGATGTTCACATTAAACAGTTTTTATTCTATATATCTTAGTTTATTTTCAGTGACATATTAGACTCTCTATGAAGATTCATCCTTTATAATTATTATGATATTGATATGAAAAATAGACAAGTAAGATTTTCAAAAACTTAGCCTATCTGGATCTTTGCTGTAGATTGTTATGATCTAATTATTATTTATTATTTATAAATCATATTGCAATAATTTGAAGAAATGTATTTTTAATAGTTGATCATGTAAAGAAACAAAAAAAAAAAAAAAAGAAGCATTTCTTTAAATATAAAAAGCTTTCTCAATTAAACGTGGAAGTAACAAAAAAGACGGATCAAGGAAGCTCATGTAGATTCATCATTGCAATCTTTATTAAAGAATTCTAATTGAAATGCCATTTTCAATTTCGTTCTTGTTTTTTTTTGTCTTCATAGCCATATGACCTTCGTTTAGATAATCAAGTAAAATTTGTCTGGAATCAAGCGTTTTCTTATATGATGAACATTAATAAGTTATACGATATAAATAATAGCCGATTTTAATTATTTTATTATGATGAAATCCGATCGGATATTCCAACGAGATTTATTTTGACGTTTGAAAGCCGTAAAAATAATTCTTTTTAATAATAAATACGAAGATAAAATGCATGCCTCGATGAATATTTAAATTCAGTACAACAAAATGTTTCAATTATATTTAATTGACATTGTCAGTTCATTGATCGATTTTGGCATTTATTAACGAACATTTTTTTTTTTTTCTTCCCATCATGTCATCTTATATAAAAAAAAAAAAAAACGAACAGGAACGAGAGGAATGCCAGAATAATGCATCAAACTAAATAGACAAGTTTCATTTCAGAATATATATATAATCTTTAATATAAAATTCAAGTCCTTTTTCTCTATCTGTTTTTGTCATATGTAACATGAAATTAATTACAGCGACAAAGTAATATTGCAAGACAAGTGCTTGAATGCTATTGACTCTATTACTTACATAGAATATAACTAAAAATAGAGTATTTATACTTATTTTTCATTAGGTAAGTTCATAAAATAGCATGCTGAATAGAATATATATATATATGATTTGATCGATTATTCTGACATTCATTTGTTTTCAGCCTATGGTTATTTTTTTTTGCTTTTATTGACAATATTTATAATAGTTTCATGTATATCAAATATGAGTCTGCACGCATCTTTCTCTTTTAGCGTGCATGAGAATATTAATTGTATTTAAAATTGATAATAAGTGAAAGAGATATAAAATTAATTAGAGAAGAAAAAAAAATCGGATAGGTTATATTATATTTTAATTAATTTATTGAATAAATCATTGTAGAAAGAACACAATATGATAAGTAACTATGTTGTTACACTTTTTCTCTTTCTCTTTTTCTTTTATTTACGGATCTTCCGTCTGTCGAACTTATTTTTTTTCTCTCATTTGATGACAGACAAACGTTAGAATCTTCTACATATTCACATAAACGGTAGTAGTTAGTATTTATTTATTTTTTTTCCCCATTGATCATCACAATATTGTTTCTTTTTGTGATAGTAGTAGCAAAAGAAAAGGATACTAGCCATAGAATCTAGTCAAACGTCTTCATAATAGGTCATTAAAACAATATTAATTTTATCATCTTCATTCAGGATTAATTGTTATTTTGTGAGTTGTCATGATCATTAGTATATTAAAAAAGTCATATTGAGTATCATATGAGAAACATAGCATAATGTCGTTGTTCTCACGTATAAGCGTTCGATGTAAATTTTAATTTATATTAGTGTTAATTATTTAAAATATATTTTTTTTTTCTAGGTCATTGAAAACTAATTCAACAGTGTGTTACAAATCAAAAAAAACAAATGAATAAAAGTAACAATCAACAAACGAGGTAAGTCAAATGAATATTTCTATATATATATATACATATAAATAACGGGTATTAATAAATATCAAGTTACATAAACATAACTCTGAGGATGATCTGTATTGTCAGTTCTGTTTTGTTTTGTTTCTTTTAATACTAAATATTATGTTACATTTAATATTTCAGTATTCTTATTTGAATTAGAGATTCATTTTAATATTATTATCAAATGAATAACATTGATTGAGACACGAGAAGACAAAAAGGAAATTTAATGTTAAATTAATGATGATGACATATACTTGATGAAACATCAGTTAAATGTTATCTGTTACTATATTATTGATCTAGTCTTTATTTTTGTCTAATTTATTTCAATGTATGTCATATTTCTTTTTTCTCTTTTTGTTCTATTTGATCAAAATAAGTATTTAAAAATGAACGTTTAAAAGCCGCTTGCTTTCTTATTCAATGGTTAGTTTATTTACGATGAAAAAAAAAGAGAGAGAGAGAGAAATCTTATATTGTCAATCTAGGTGGATGAAATTCAATGAGACTCATTTTCTATATTTCTATGATATCATGTCAATTTCATTTGTCTTATAAGTACAAAATAATATTTAAATAATAATACCTGGAAGAAAGATTCTTTCTTATTCTTCTTCTTTTTTCTATGATATATTGCATTCATAGATGATAGGAGGCTTTAGAAAAATGAAGATGTTAGTATATTACGAAAATAATCTTGAGTTGTCAAATGATCGAGGTCTTTGTAATTAATTCCATATGAATTCGAGTGAGAAATGTCAAAAGAAATGTCATCAATATCATGATGACAAGAAAAATGTTCGTAATCAATCACTTGTTAAGGTTCAATGATTTTAAAAAGAATAAATTTCTATTCTCATGTGGCAATTTAAAATATTATTGTCAAAAAAAGTACCTGACTATCAAATATTTTAAATGTAGTTTTTTCATATATCTATATATATATATATATCGATTGAGAAACAAAAGCAGACAATTTAAGTAAGTGGAATTTCCTGTTCATGAATTCACAGTTGCTTATTCTTTTATTGTATACGTATATATATATATATATATATATATACAAAGAAAGAGTGAGAGACAAAAGGAAAATGATGAGTAGTTCTATAGAGTTTGAATTACATTTTTCAATGTGTGTATGAGAGGCAATCAAGTATGTGTATTGCTTAAAACTCCGAAGAATGATGCATTCTATTATTTATTTATTTATTTTATCATCATGTTCCACTAGATTATATTCCTTATTGTTTCGACGTGCATTTGTATTGGATGAGATGTCAGAAAAACTGATGATGAAAATAACAACGAAAAGCAATATTATCTGTCAGAGTGCATACAAAAAGAAGACGTAGTATGAGAGAAGCGAAGAAATCCCACTTCTACTATTAGCACTCTTTAGTGATGTAAACACGGTTCTCTCTTTCTCTATTCTCTATTTTTTTTGCCTCTTCTTCTTTTTTTTTTGCCTTCACATATTCTTTATTGTATTTTTTACAATTATTAAATGTGAAAGGCATCTAAGAATGAACATGAATGTAATAAGAAGTTGAATTACTATCATACAAGAATAAAGCATATTACTGACTTCTTCCGTACGTTCAATTCTGCGAAGAAAAAAAAAAAACAAATTAATCTTTTCATTGTTTACCAAAAAGCAAATATTAAAATTAAATACCTAGAAAGAGAGAATATTAACATGAAATCTGTTCGTAGTTTAAAAATAGATGAAAAAAATAATCAAACAATAGCAATGCTCAATGATGAAAATCATCCGACACGAACAAGAACTGATGATCATCGACCAGGATTACAAAAAGTAATATTTTCTTCTTTGTTACAAATATATTCAATTAAACTATTCATCATCTTCTTCTTTTATCCTTTATTTTTAATTAGTGTTGTTCAAGTTTTTTCGCATCTCTTCGTAATAATTTACTTCTCACATTGACCATTGCCGGTGTTTTTGTGGGCTTACTGTTCGGATTTCTATGTCGTTCATCAAAGCCATCCGCCGAAACGGTTATGATACTATCGTTTCCCGGTGACATTCTTATGCGTATGCTCAAAATGCTTATTTTACCTCTTATTACATCCAGTCTTATAACTGGTTTGTCAATGAAAGAATTCATTTCAAATAAATTCATATCATTTTGATTTCAAAGGTTTGGCTGTACTTGATCCAAAATCAAGTGGAAAATTAGGTATCTATGCATTAACATATTACTTTTGTACAACTATACTTGCTGCTATACTTGGTATTGTACTTGTACAATTGATTCGACCAGGTGAACGAGGTAATAAAGCTCAATTACGTTCGGAATTATTAGGAGATGATCCAAAAGCTGATCAAATCACAACACTTGATGCAATATTTGATCTATTTCGGTAAACGATTTTTTTCAGAACTAATTAAAAAATTATTTTTTTCTTTTAGAAATATGTTTGCGGAAAATATCATTCAAGCTGCACTTGAACAAGTTAAAACGACAAGAGGTATGAATTCTAATTTAGAGTAACTTTCTTTTTAATATGTAACAGCATATTTTCTTCTCTTTAGAATATGATACTGTTAATGTGAATGGTACAGCAGTGACTAAAGTTAAATTTATTACACGTTATGTTGCTGGTACCAACTTTTTGGGTTAGAATTTTTTTTTGTTTTGTTTTCGTTTCGATAATTTTCTTCTATCAAAATTTTTGAATAAAAAAAAAAACAACCATAGGTTTGATTACATTTTGCTGTGCATTTGGTATAACAATTGGAACAATGGGAAAACGAGGTGAACCAATGTTACATTTTTTTCTCATATTAAATGAAATTGTCATGAAATTAATTAAACTTGCCATGTGGTATGTAAATATATAAATTAATTTTCTTTTAAAAATTAAAATAAAATGAATATTTACATAGGTATTCTCCATTTGGTATCATGTTTTTAGTTGCTGGAAAAATTCTCGAAATTGAGGATTTACTTAAATTAGCTCAAAGTTTAGGAATGTATGCATTAACAGTATTAACTGGCTTAGCTATACATTCATTGGTTACATTACCATTAATATTTTATATTATAACACGTCGAAATCCATTTGCATTTTATAAAGGAATGCTTCAAGCTTGGTTAATAGGTATTGGAACAGGTTCAAGGTAAGACAAGCATTGATTTAAATGAACAATATTAATATGAAGGAAAAAAAAATCTAGTGCTGCATCATTACCCGTAACATTTCGATGTTTGGAAGAAACATTGAAATTAGATCGACGTGTAACACGTTTTGTATTACCAATTGGAGCAACTGTTAATATGGGTAAGAAAATTTAATATGAAATTGATAATACAAACATCTAGTGATTTTAGATGGTACGGCTTTATATGAAGCTGTTGCTCCAGTTTTTCTTGCCCAACTTATGGGACGACAATTAGGTATTGGTCAACTAATTATTGTTAGGTAAGTAACATATGAGAAAAAAGGTAAAATTCTAAAAATTATTTATAAATAGTTTAACGGCAACAGTAGCTTCAATCGGAGCTGCATCAATTCCATCGGCAGGTCTTGTTACAATGCTTTTAGTTATGTCAGCTGTGAATATTCCTGCAAAAGAAATAACAATCATATTTGCTATTGATTGGGCTTTGTATAGTTTTTTTTTTTTTTTAAATTTTGATCATTATTGTTTTATTTTTTTATTTTTCTTCTTATATCAGAGATCGAATTCGAACATCGGTTAATATATTAGGTGATGGTATTGGAGCTGGTATTGTTGATCATCTTGTTCGTAATAAATTAGGTCCAACTGAACTTGAAGAAGGAGAAAATACAAATAAACCTATTCAAGCTCGAACAGCATCACGACTTAGTGCTGCACGACGTTTGCATAGTCATGATGATTTCAATGAAACAGCTAAACTTTAACAAATAGGTTTTTTTTTTTAAATTGATTTCTATTCTCTCAGGTAATAACAACTGCCTTGGATTAAAACATTTAAAACTAAACATTTAAATACAATATATTTATCTATTTTATATTAGTCTAGTTTTGTAATCAAGAAAACTGTGTGTATATGTGTGTGTGTGTGTGTGTGTATACAGATTGCATGTCTTATTTTTTTTTTTTGTTTGTTAATTGATTTATTTGATGTTGTTTCTTCTATTTTGATTTGTCATATAGATTCAAAACAGAAAAAAATATAAGAAACTGTTAATGTGATTGTGTATTAGAAGTGAGAATTCATTTATTTATTTATTTTCATCACTGTTGTTAGTAGATGATTGAATATCAAGGTAAAGAAGATTTGTTTGATTTTGTGAGAAAACAAGTGTCGACAAATAATAAAAAAAGAAAAAAGTAATTTCTATTAAATTCATATAGTCAATAAGTATTTAGCAAAGCATTAGAGATCGATTAACTCTAATAAGAAAGACAATTGAAATCGAAAAATACAAATTCATATGAACATCAAGATGAACAACGAAATCAATGATTTGATTTTGTTAGTTTTACCCTTTAAATCTATATAAAAAATCATGCTTGTATAGAGGAAAAAAAAAGATAGTTTGCTAATTAATCTATTGATCAGTATAAGAAGATATCGATCATTTGTTTGATTAAGATTAATCGTATTTGTTAATAAAGAAAATACATCATCTATATATATAAATTCAATAGGATTAGTATAAATTGATGGTTATATCTTTAATAATTTTCATGATAAATGATTTATTTTGATTGTTAGAATTCAATGTAGGATTTTATAATTCATATTGCATTTGTTTGAGAAGATTAAATTTTCATAATATAAATTATGTTTCAAAACTGATGTATGAAAATTTAGTTTACAACTTTTAAATAAATTAATATTGAACAAAGAATTTTATTTATAATGAATCTTAAAAATAGAAAAGACATTTTGTTAATGTCAACGAACGTCTTAACATCGATACCATTTTTCTATATCCGGAACATAATGAACTATATTTAATGTACCATACATTGGTTTGAAAGTGCTCAACCTTCACTCATTTTATAATTTATAATAAATTTTCAAGCTTTTATTCTACTTGATTACATTGAATAAATAATAATATGAGACAAATATACTATTTGAAATATCTAAGTACTTCATAATTTAATTGCTTTTTTTTCTTTTATATCTAAAATGAGTAGATTTATTTTTAATTTCAATAAATTACTTGACCTGATAGTCACATATTTTCATCAAGCTATTCTGTTAGTGTAAAACAGATACATGCTTTACATATAGTTGTTTATATTTTCTTCATTATAGAACGATTTATCTAAACAAGAATTATTATTACTTCATCTATTTACTCTATAGGTCATTCTCAAAACAAGCAAAAAGATTAATTATGTCACCATGTCGCCCATATACGGACTACCGATTTCAG